CCTCACCAGCCGCCCGCAGCCTCCACAGCCCGGCACCTCTACCTGCGCGGCGGCGCTGGTGTGGGTTCCATGACCAAGATCTACGGAGGCCGGCAGCGCAATGGTGTCATGCCTAGCCACTTCAGCCGCGGCTCCAAGAGCGTGGCCCGCCGCGTGCTGCAGGCCCTCGAGGGGCTCAAGATGGTAGAGAAGGACCAGGACGGGTGAGTGGGGCCATGGGACAGCAGGTTTCGCCCCGTGGTACTGGGCTTATCACTTTATTTATTTATTTATTTATTGTTGTTTTCTAGAGGCCGCAAACTTACACCTCAGGGGCAGCGAGACTTGGACAGGATCGCTGGGCAGGTAACGACGCTTGCCCCAGCATTACAAAAAAAATGCCGTGGCAAAGGCGCTCTCTGTGACCTCCCCGAGATTCATGGCTCTCTCTCTTGCAGGTGGCAGCTGCCAGCAAGAAGCATTAAGATGGACTTTGCCTAATAAAAATGAGCCCGACCCATGTGCGGTGCTACTGTGTTGTCTTTCTTCGTCCCCCTTCCCACTGTGGCTGGCGGTCGCCCGCTGCTGAGCTTGAAATTTGGGCTGAGAGCAGTAAATTGGAGCCTCCTGGTTTTCAGCTTGATCTGGTCCAGGGCTGGGATGCAGAGCTGGTGTCTTCCAGGTGCTGCTTGGAAAAGCAAGGCTTTTGGGCAGCAAAAAGCCAGTGCTCGCACCCAAAAGGCCTTGCGGGGCAAGGATGAGGAGGGGGCACGGAGGAAGCATATGCGGCTAGCTCTGTGCCTGCCAGGTCCATGATCCTGGGGGGTATGTGAAGGTTCCTGTCGGCACGGTGAATGGCTGGTGCATCCAACGCTCCAAACTCACTCTCCTTCCCTCATTTCTTGTTGCTGGCAGCTTAACACTGCTGTGACTTCCAAAGAAATGCCACTGCTGGAGGACAAATGCAGGAGAAACACTGGCACCGGGGGTTATTTTTAAGCTCAAAGCAGGATTTAGAGGGAAGTTGTCACCTCGGCTGTAGCTGGGGCTTTGCTTGCCCTGTGCCCTAAGGCTCCCAGAGCCTTAGGAGCGCTTGACTGCCAGTCTGCCGTCTGGAGCACCACTGAGGGGCTCTGTGGTGCTTTGCAAACTTAATTAATCCTGCACTGTGTCTGGGAGGGAAGCACCTAACCACAGCTGCAGAGAGGGGGAAGGCAGAGCAGTGCTGCAGCCAGAACTCATGTAGTGAATTTGTGTTGGTGGCCAAGGAGCAGTGGTGTCCTGAGGAGGTGACACAAGGGTGGGGGGAGGGGCAGCTGCCATTTACCTGCAGGGTTCTCTCTCCAGCCAGGCTGAAGGTCGGCAAGAGCAATTGGCCCTCCATGGTGACAGATCAGGGCAGTAGCCCTCATTTCCTTGGAGGGGGGGGATGGCAGGAAGGGCAGCTGTTTACTAGGTGCTGGGGATGGGGGGAGCAGTCATTTAACAGCTGTCTCATGGTCACATAATGGGGAGAGAGAGCAACCATTTAACAGTCCCATGTGTGGTAGGGCAGCAGGTGTCCAAGGAGTGCAGGGGGTAGGCAGGGGTGGCCGTTTAACAGCCTTTGGGCTTGTATGGGTCTGGGCTGGGTCTTACGGGTTTGTACGGGTCTGCACGGGGCTCTATGGGCTCATGCAGGCTCATAGGGGGCTGTACAGGTTCCTATGGGTCCGTGCTGGGCTCTGTGGGCTTGTACGGGTCGAAATGCGACTCCACCGGCTCATATGGGCCTACATAGAGCTTTACAGGCTCATCGGGACCTGCCCCAGGCCCTACGGGATTGTTTGTGCCTGTATCAGGCTTGAGGGGCTCGGCTCGTATGGGCTCGTGCCAAGCTTGTACTGACCCGCACGGGGCTCTTATGGGCTGTTACAGACCTGTGCCGAGCTTGTTAGGCTCGTAGGGGCCCGCACCAGGCCCTATGCACTCGTCCAGGACTGTGCCAGGCCTCATGGGCTCGTAGGATCCCGCGCCGGGCTCGACGGCTCGTACGGGCCGGT